GTTGTGGTGCCCACCCTATGGAATGCCCTCCCATCAGATAAACAACTATACAACTTTTAGAAGACATCTGAAGGCAGCCCTGCATAGAAATGTTTTTAATATTTGACATTTTATTGTGTTTTTTTTAAAAAATTCTGGAAGCTGGCCAGAGTGGCTGGGGCAACCCAGTAAGATGGGTAGCATATAAATAAAATAAAATAAAAATAATTAATAATTACCAGTAGTAGTAGTAATTCATTGCTTTGGAAAGAGGAACATCAGATATTGGAGTCTTTAGAAATATGGTTTATCTTACATATATTTATGCCTGAAGTCTTCATTGGAGGGGGCTCAGAAAATTAAACCCCCAAAGTGTATCTCATTGCTTCTCTCATAGCTTCAGCAAGCTTTGGTCCAAAGCGGCAGCCGGTCATGGGCCTGTCTTTTGGTGCAGCCTCTTCCAACCAGTGCACATTGAGTTCCATTTCCTCCATCTTCTTCCCAGAAGCCTTTGCAGAAAAGCAACACTTCCCGTTCTGCTTCCAGTATCCCCCTCCCCCATCACCCTGGCATCTTCCATTTCAAAGGCCTCTTGCTAAAGGCACTTTCTCCTGTGGTGACATCAAGCCCCTTGTAAACCTGGCACTCTCCCTTTCTTGACTTTTGCTGAAAGTCTCATGTTTTTCAGGGTAATGACTGTGTAATCACCTACCTTTGTCCTTTGATGGCAGCTCTCTAAGCCAAGCTCCTGAGGAAGCTGGCTTGACTTATTTTTTAAGGTAGAAGGTAAAGGGACCCCTGACCATTAGGTCCAGTCGAGGATGACTCTGGGGTTGCAGCACTCATCTCGCTTTATTGGCCAAGGGAGCTGGCGTACAGCTTCCAGGTCATGTGGCCAGCATGACTAAGCCGCTTCTGGCAAACCAGAGCAGCACACGGAAACACCATTTACCTTCCTGCCACAGCAGTACCTATTTATCTACTTGCACTTTTGTGCTTTCAAACTGCTAGGTTGGCAGGAGCAGGAACCGAGCAACGGGAGCTCACCCTGTCACGGGGATTCGAACCACCGACCTTCCGATCGGCTAGCCCTAGGCTCTGTGGGTCTCCAGCTTTTAATAAGGACCTTTTTATTATTAAGGATTACAACTCACACCATTTGAGGAACACTGTCTTAATGCCTTGCTGCATTCAATGATCAAACCCCACATTTACAAATTTCAGAGATTATGGGGAGAACCTGGCACCCAGGAATTTTAGGGGATCCTTGTCCCTTGCAAACCTGTAGCAAAATTATTTAATATGACTTGCCCATCATAGTGAAATCATCTACCTGTGAGGGTCTCCCCTGCCTTTCAAATCAGCTTGCACAGTTCAGGCCATGAAAAGTCACAAGCAGAGAGGAGTTGCCGAGAAAATAGCTCCAGATGGCTCATATAGGAGATTCCAGCTGCACACTGCAGTTGCAGACAAAATATGGACAAGGTCACTCTTAAGCTACTGACCCAGAGAAATTTTTATTTGATTCCTTTCTAAATTGTGGTAAATGGCCAGCTTCCATTCAAAGAGTATCGTCAAGGGGAATTTGACTTGGAGCCTGGTACTGACTATCCTATTTCAGCTCCTACTGAACCAT